GCTTGGGGTCTGCCGGGAAGGGCCACCAGGCGGCAGAAGGAGGGTGTTGCTTGTAGAAGAAGAGATGTCACCACGAGGTCAGTCTTATATAGCGGAGGTAGGCGTGGCTTAATAGTTGACCCCGTCATGTAAGGAACTGGTTGACCCAGACCACGAGGCATACACTGGAGGTCGGCTACTCGCGACAAACAGCGTTTGTAGGAGGAATCCACTACACTACCTCTGAAAGAGTGCAAGAGGCACTTTATTCCAATCGTGAGGGGTTACCTACTCTGACTGAGGAAATAAACAATAAAGTTTGTTTTGCTTGTTTTACATGTGCAGTGACTACAGCTATTATACTTTATTGGTTTACGACATTTAATTGTACATTTGAATATATAATTACAAAAATAGAGGAAAGGAGGTCACGTGACTCAATGGGTGTTACTGCTAGTTCACAACAAGTAACAAACAAGACACCGAATGGCTCTACAAAGTGATCAAATGATAAATTAAACTACAATTTAACCTTAACAGCTTATGAATCAATCACTTAATTATGTCCTTTAGGAAGAAATGAAACCTTAGCATTTTATTATTATTTTTTTTCCTTTCATCTGCCGCCAGCACATGAAGAGAGTAAACAAACACCTGACACACCTGACTTACCTCTCTCATAGGACCTTGATGTCTTATATAGTACAGAGAAAGAAGACACACATGTAAAACTACAAGTAAAAAAGAGGAACTGTGATTGTGTACTTAATGATAACGAAAGTAACTGAAGTAAATCACGTTTATATCTGATGAACTTCCATCGACTGTCAGACAGGAAGGGGACACAGATTTAGTGGAGATTTATTGTTTTAATGTAAATATTTATCTTCATAAAATTCAAGAAATTACCTGACCTAAACTTGGGGTTCAGGTAGACATTATCTAAAATGGTGGAGGAGAGAAGTTAGCACCCGGGGACTTAATGGAATTGCACTAAAATATCTGGAGATGTTATTTGCATGATGTATTATTTCACTTGTTGCCACAAAATGAATCTCGAATATTATGTTGCAATCAATTTGGACAATTGTAAAAACTTTCGTTATGGCATTTTTTTGAACACTTTGTTTCAGTGCAACAATTGAACCACTCGGTCCAGCTTGCATTCTCACTAACACAAATCACAAAATTATATTATGCTGTTTCCAGAAGTTGCTGCTATTGATGCAGAAAGTTTGTTATTTGTAGGGCCAGTTCTGTTAGGTCTGTGCATTGTCATATAAATTTATTACGTACTGTCAACCAAAGAACATGTGATACAAATGAATGAAATCAAACGACTTGGTGTTAGCCGTTTGCTTCACTTTTAAACAGAACCTGACCTAACCTTGCCTAATTTCCTAACAGAAGCAAAACTCCACGTAACCCCTGGCATATTACAGAAAGAACTACATTGATATCAGGTACCAATGAAAACACTTTTCTTGAAGGCGTCATTGTGTAATTTACATTTTTAGACTAGAGTGCTATGCATTGTTGCACTGAAACACATACTGTACATCTTTCACTGTAAGTTCTCTGCCACATTTTGAACACTTTAATGTCCTGCCAACTCGTCCATGTTGACAAATGAACTTGGAGATGGTCTTCATCCTCCATAAGGACAGATAACTTGTAATATGATACCAAACATGTCATTGAAAACAAGATGGCTGCTTCTCCACTGTATAATACTGTAATTTTCATCGTCGGGTTTGGTATGGATCGTAGAGGTTGTTTTGTTGGTTCATTTAGTGCTATACTAATACATTAAGGTAATACTGTATTATTATCAGACGGTAGATGGAAAATTGCAAATACCACGACTGTACTGGTATATTACTAGATTGTAAGTGTCATAAATATAGTTCAGATCTTATTATTATCAGTATATATTATTATTATATATATATTATATTATTATTAACCCAAGAAAGAAATGTATCATCATTGTTTATAGGAAGTTGTAAAGTTCCAGGAAAATATCTTTAATTAATATTCACTTTATATCCAGGTGTTTTTTTATGACCAAAGCAGAATGAAGACAGTGTGTGTGAAAGTTCTTGCCTCAGTCCCACAACCTCCGTTGTCATTGCTGGCCGTCGTGATGTAAGCATCTTTTAACGACTGTACATCCAACAATACTTTCATATATCTGTAAATCTAATTGTAATTTGATGTTTTCATAACTTGGGACATCATTTTGTGAAATTTATAGTTGTTTGTTTATTTCAGGTAGGAGGAAAAGTTTAGCTTTGGCAGTAATATTGACTCTGTTATAATGAAAATACTGTATAGTACTGTGCTATTTAATTGTGCTTTCATAAACTTGTCTGAATGTATGTGGACAAGAAATAGACTTATTGACTGTGTTGGTAGATGGTGGTTATTTTTTTGATCTATTTATAATTTTATTTTCAGTGTTCAAAATCTTTTCCATTGAAGAGGAAGACCGTGGTAGAGCTTAACCTTGGCTGGTAAACATCTAAACCTAACTTTCCTGCAATGATGTGGTTTAATCTGGAAGGTAATATTACAGTTTTGTTTTTATAAAATTCTCTATTTTATTCTCTTCTCCTTTAATTATTAACAGGTAGCTTAATATTTTTTTGTTCATTCATATTACACAGACACTCTCCTCTTGTTCTATGTTATTCAGCCATCTAACAGACATACTATATGTGTTCTCCTTTGTAGCCCTGCCACAGTGAGGACTTTATGCTTGTCACGTCATACAGTATCACAGCTTGACACATCATCAGTACAATATATATATATACAGTATCTGTCCTCAAAAGCCAGTCAACATGATGCATTCCAGTCACACACACACACACACACACACACACACACACACACACACACACACACACACACACACACACACACACACACACACACATTGCTGCTTCCTCAAAGTCTATCTCCCCCACCCCATTCCTACATACTTACCCCCAGCTTCCAGCATTTTCCTTTTCTCCCATCCACTTTTAAATCATCCATTCTTTGACTACAGTATGCCTTTTCCCATTTTCTGTGTGCTCATGATCATAATAAATCTTGGTTGGCACTCTGGCACTCAAATCATCTCAATTACCTCTATTTCATTTTCCTACAGTACAGTACTTTCAAAAACATCATTTAAGTAACTCAAAATAATTCTTTATAATTTCTTCTTCTTTAAAGCTTATTAAACAACTTTTTCTAATTTATTCTCCCATTTTTATTGTGTAAAATTTTGATGATACGGTATTGTAGTTGGCCACACCAAACCTGTGGGATGAAACAAAAAATTTAGCCATCTTGTAGTTTAAAATTTTTCTTTTTCAGACAGTGTTCTTGCTACAGCATCCACAAATGGGGCTGTTGTCACCGAACTTGAACAAACCGTCTGGTCAAAGATGGATACACTACAGCCGGACTGTTCACAAGGTATGAAATTTCTAAGGGTTTTATGAACAGTCGATCAAAACTTCCTCCCTCCCCAAACTGAAGTAGTGTCGATCCCAAGTGAGATAAAACGATATACTGTACTCACCAAATGACAGTCGGAGAGAGATTTTGGATTACCTAGTTTCAACATGGGAGCCAACTTGTCCGTCACTGTGCTAGGTTTTCCTGTATTATATGTAGGATGTACACCTTATACAGTACAGTACATATATACAAAGGACTGGAACTTATTCACATTTACCCAGATTAAATCTACCTCCGACAACAAGGCTTGAGAACGATTTTGTGAATATCCACTTGTACTAACATCTCCTGAGCACATTTGATTAAAACTACAATTGGTATACGACAGTATTTCACTAAAATATTCAGTACAAATATACCAGATATCAAGACATTTAAATATAAAATCACTTCAGGTAGGTTTGCTTCTGTGATGGGCAGATTATTACAGTACTGTACCTGTTATTCATTCTATTTTGCTTATTATGTAATGAACTGTTTGGAGGAAATGGTACATTTTATTGCTTTTGTTAATTTGTACACTATATATATTTCATGTATCAGTAGAACAAGATTTTTTTCTCCAGACTTTAACTGATCTGGGGTTCCAAAATTCCTATGGTCCTCCACCAGTTAGGTCCTGAGGATTGGATGGGTTAACATGTACCTTTGTAACAGTGTGAAAAAGCCCTGAACTTACTTTTACTGCTAATACTGTATATTCAGGTTAAGAAAGCCTTTGTTAAATTTAGTAATCAATAATAAAATAAGATTTAGAGACCAAACTTTTTCATTCTTGACCTGTTAAAGGTGTTGTCATCAGAGGTTCTTAGATACATATACACAAGATCTGTCTGCTGGGTCTCACATGTCACATCAAGGGAAGGAATGATGAGTAAGGGATTTTGTCACTGTCTTAAATACAGTATATTCATATAAACTTGAAGGAGCTTCTAGTGTCTTGTTTATTCATGAACAGTTTTCTTCAAGACATTATGGTTAGAGCTTTTGTTTCCACACCCTTCCCAGTCAGGCTGTGTTTTAATGACACAAGTCACTCAGGCCATTGGGTTTTAAATGGAGGGTTCATCTAGAAATCCTCTTTAGGGCGTAAGTATGAAACAGATGGCTAATATGATTAGCGTGTTTCCACAGGTCAGTTTTCATCCGTGTGAATCGCATCTGTTGATATCCGCTCACATGATGGGTTCATGAAGTTGTTTGACCCACTGGGAAGAGGCTACTCAGACTTTTACCAGGTTTGTAACTCTAATGATATTCAGTATTAATTCTAGTTTGATATGTTGACATAAATATTTATGAGTGTTCACAGTTTGTAAATGAATCATTTTTCTTACTGAGTTGATATCATCATGTTGGAGTGTAAATTGTGAGAACTCTTATTGTTCCCATCATTTTGTTCTCATTAATATTAACTTTATATTTCGTGCACCATACATACATCCTATTTTTAATTTGCAGCAATGCTGAGAGTGTCAGAGGCGTAGATTCAACCGCACCATAGCATGAACTTCTGTGCAGTTTCTGAGAATGGGAATGTGCAGTTGTGGGACATGAGGAGACCTGACCGAGTAGAGAAGCAGTTCATACATGGGGCCCTATTTTTGCCCTGGACTGGCATCCTGAAGTTAAAACTTGGATTGCTACACTTGGCAGGGATAAAACCATAAAAGTAAGCTTACTTTTCTATAGTGTTCAGAGAATGAGCACTTGTTGTTTTATCAGCTGCCTCATTGTTAAGATGCCAACTGTTGAACTGCTGTACAGTACAAGAATACCTCTCTCTTCGCAGTCCACTTATCCTTAATTGATATTTTAACGCCCTTATTTCATATTTGCAAAAGCATACCCTGTTTATTCAAAAAAAAATTATGGTACCCTACAGTAATATTTCAAACCTTGCGTGCTATACACAGCTCATGTATTCCACTGTAAAGCCAGCTTCACCGAGCATGTATTTTCTGAGCTTGAGGACCCACATGGTTTAGAAATTTCTGAAACTCAATAGGATCATTCAAATGTTGTACACTCACAGACACACACTCACTCATGCACAGACACACAGTCACTCATTGTTCTTTTGTATATTTTTTTATGGTATTGTAGTTATTTTATTGCATTATATGGAGTGTACCTGTACAGTATATCAAAAAATATGTTGCTATTAATTGAAAATATGAAAAGCCTGGGTGTTGAAGTGACATAATGTGTGGGCGTAGTTTGTCACCAAGTTAAATTGGCCCTTTAGCTACAGCCCCTTAGCTCTTCCATACCAGGCCAAGCTGTGTGATCATTATTTTATTGATTTTTTTTTATGTAATATGCCTACACAGTTTTTTGTCAGTTACCTGAAAAACATATTAAAGTTTACTGAAGAGTATACACACAATTTACCTCAAATAATAAATGGCATTTTCATGATTTTATAAAATTTAAATCATCACACATGGGTCCTTTTTACCACTGCCCAGAGTCCCCCACAGTTGACCATATACTATTTATTGATAGATAAAAAGGTAGCCTGCATTCACTGAGGTTTGATGTTATTGAAATACAAAAAAATATCATTCATCTTAGTTTTATCATTTAATTATTTGTTTAAACAGGTTTGGGATTTAAATGAAATTCCTACTGTATGCAACACCATTCAAACAATTGCTTCAGTTGGCAGAGTCAAGTGGAGGCAACACCAAGTACCACATTGCTAGGTAAGTCCTGTTGTGTTGTATAAATGTAACAGTAGATGTTAAATTAATTATAGATGTTGTAGCAAAAGAACTTTAATGACTAGAGAGTTTGCTGTTAATATTTTCAGGGTGAAGGGTTGTATTTTGGGCTACCACTTGTGTTCTTTGGGAAAGGAGATTTTAAAGAGGAGGAAAGAATGCAAGATTGGTCAGCTAGATGCATAGACAAGATTGGTCAGAAGAAAGGATTAGACATGACACTGTAATAGCATAAACATTTGCACAGGTAGTGAGGCAGCGATTGCCTGTGGTCAGTGTCAATAGAAGAAGCGTGTTCTTTAAGTCCCGCATGTACAAGAATAGTGAGTGAGCCAGAAAATAGTATGGACCAATGGACCAAGAAAGACAATTACAGTATAGTGGTTGGAGGACGAAGTGCATTTGATAGTAGAATCTAAGTCAAAGAGTTGGGTCAGGTTGTTCTGGTGAGTCATAAATGCAACAAGTAAAAGTAGGTTTCAGGAAAGTGTAAACCTTAACCAGAGATCATAATTGGAGGACTCAAAACCAGTGTGTGTGTATGTGATAGAAACAGGTTACAGTTACAGTATGGGAATATGATTAGGAGGTTGGTGAGGAAGACTTGAGAAATGCTTGCATGATTGGAAAAATTGTGTTCAAGTTAAAGAAATTATGGCATTTCAAGAAGAGTTACATATAAATGATATGGAATGGAAAATGGTAATACGTGCAGTACTACATTAGGCATTTTACTCATACTTTGGAGGTTGTATTGTGTGTGATAGAGGCCTTAGGTTCCCTCCTGTCCTCAGATACTGTATTTTATTACTGACACAGATTTCTTTAGAGTACAAGACAAAGATACTGTACCGTGGTTTAAGAGGTTTGTTGAATGTTTTTTGTGTTCTAGCTCTGCCTTGCTGTGGGACTGTAGCATTAATGTTTGGGACATAAGGCGGCCTTATATACCTCTGGCAGCTTTTAGCAGGCACAAAATCTAACTACTAGCATTGCTGGTGAGGGTGACCCAAACAGTTTACTGTCTGTTGGAAAGGTAAGTGAAGGTGCTCTTATCTTGTGAGGTCAATGGTCCTCTTGTATCCTTACCATATGCCTTTAAGACATACAGTTTGTCTGTTTATAAGAAGATGTTCAGTTGTGTGGTATATATACAGACTGTACACTTACCATTTCAAATGATAATACACACTACTTATTTATTCCTGATACTGGTGAGGGTAAATTCTGTGTACGATGAAACACTGATACCTCCCTCACTGTACGTGAGTTCAGTTATGGGAGATGTTTTAAACCAGAGCACAAGTCTATATGCTTGGTTTTGTTTTCCAGGATTGTACCTTGATTCATCATTCCTTTCAAGATGCAGCAAGGCCTATGGAAGATGTCAATCCTGCTGCCTTAGACATTAGTATTTACGGCAACATCTCCAATGCTTCCCGGATAAAAGAGGACTCTGAGCCCACTGGATCTCTGACAAAGTTGTCAGTGTTTAGGTGAAATTAAAACTGTTACAGTAATTCTGTTACTCATCCATTGATATTCACTCATTTCTTTTAGTAATCATTATCAGATGTTTTGGTCCCTCAGAATCACCCATAAGTTTGTAGATTCTGTGATATCCTATTACAGGTACTGTACTGTATTCTTATTACAGTTACGTTATGTTCCTGTTAGTGTGATACATATATTCTTTCATCTTCTATTGTGCAGTGCAGTTTTATTCAGTTTAACCACCTACAAATAACTTAAGCCAGGTTTGTAACTTACTGAAGCAGCGCTGCTAGACCACATGTCAGTTCTCCTCACTCAGGTTGGAGTTATAGCTTGGGTTATCTGTTGGCAAGTCACACTCCAATTCCATACCATTTTGAAGTTTGAGGAACACAACTTTGTCTTCCTTCATATAATTCCCTCCCTCCTCCACATCTGTCTCCTCCCTCTTAACCTGCCTCCTCACTACTTTTCCCCTCCTTATGGGAATGGGCTAGGGAGGGTGAGAGATGAAGGAAGTTGAAGGTGGGAGGAGCTGAGTTTCATCATACATCAGGAGTGTGTAGTACCAATGTTACCAGACCACTTGTGGACCTTACAGCTACAGTGTGTATACTTATTTCTGAGGCCTATACAGTATCTGTTATATCTTCCAGCTATACCTTGAATGCATCTTATTTTATTTTACATACTTGAGAGTACGTAATTTAAATTTTATATTTTTGTTTTCTTGCTTTGATGTAAAACTTATATTCAGGAAGCCAGCAAATTTGGTGAGCACATTGGGCAGGTGCTGTCATCCATTCAGATGAGGAATTGTAAGAAGATGGTCCAGTCTCTACCCACCACCTTGTTGAGTCTGCCAAGCAGTACCTCCTCACTGGACGTTCCTTGGGGAGATATGTGAACATAATGCTGGAGTAGCTAAAAGCTGAATAGACATCAGGTCTGGCTCAATTTTTGTGTTCTTGAGTGCAAGTTAATAAATGAACAGGTATACTTGTAGTTGGAACATTCATGTCACGTCTGATGTGTTTCACTTCTTCATCCATTCTTACAGCTGTCCATGTGTTCATCACCGCCATCAATGCTTTACAGCCATTTTCACCCTTTGTGTAGGTCAGCTGTGATTACCAGATGGCAGCTCTCCATGCAGCATATTCTCTTGCAGTCTTTCTTGTCAGGTTCCTAACTCTAATATCATTTATAACTGTTCCCCATTTCATTCTTGGCGTACTCGGCCTCTCCTTCCTTTCACATTAGGCTCATGCACCTCTTGACTCAATTAGCCTCATCCATTCTCTTCACATCAGGCTTATTAGAGTTCATAATCAATGTGATGTTGTTTATTTTACAAGCATTTCTAATTACTTGTTGTCTTTACCCTTTCCTGTTACATCTACACCTGCCTTGCACCACTCCACTATTTACACCCATCATTTGAAGTGTCTGTATCCCTTGTTCTGACCTACAGAAATATAATAGGTTAAATACATAGGTTTTGTGTTCATGAATATAGATGTGTGAGTGTTGGTTAATTGATTTTATTATAGAGAGGTGCAGTATATGAGAAGTACAGTAAAGGTGAACATTAAATGAAATTAAAGAACCAAATTACAAGTAGAGAAGCAGGAAATAAAGATCTTTGATAACCTCTGCCATTTGCTTCTTTCATCGTTCTTGTTATTTGTAAGTTTCATTGTAATAACTAAACAGTTTTAAGGAGATACGCCTATAGTATTATTAGTGTTCTGATAAATTGCCATTCTAAAAATAAAATTGAGAAAATTATTCTCTGCCTACATCAGTGTGGGCTTAGTGGTAATATGCTGTGGATGATCTTGGTTGGCTTCATGATAAATAATGTGAACTTAGTTTTGAATGTACTATATCTTAACTTTTATTCTTCCTTCAGATTGCACTGACATGGCAGATACTACAAATGCTGTATGTAGGTGTTGGTGGTGGTGACCACTTGTCAGGTCTGGGGCTCCTCCAGAGATGATCCAACTGTACAGCCAGACACCAGTTTGGAGAATGAACAGAGGTAATGCTAACACACCATGAGTCTTAGTTGCTGTTGTTAGGGTGAGCCAGTAGCAGATTCTTGTTACATTCCAGTCAGTGAAGAGGAAGGTGGGGTTACTAACAGTCTTGCCAGCAATGGATTCTCAACCTCGTTTATGTAATGATGACTTGACCACAGATTGACAGCTCTACCTACTGGCTTAATTAAACCGGATATAGTGGGCAGTGTAGGTCTTGACACTGTCAAGCCTCAACAGTGACAAGTGAGCCAAGCCTCTGATTGAGTGGTTGGTTAAGTTTAAGGGGAACACTAAGGTTGATGTATATAGAGCTAGAGTACACCATTTGACCCAAACATTTTAATAGGCTTATTTTTCTACCAAATCTTCACTAGCGGAATTTTTATTACACGATTACTCTGTTAGTAATTCACAAAATCATCTTTATTTACAGATCGTCACGTCACTTCTCTGGGGGTGATGCTGGTGGAGACACATCTGGAGGAGGCTTCAGTGCAGAGGAAGGAGACACAGAGACAGATGATACCGAAACCATGATCTGAAGCTGACAAATATTGCCAGGTGAGCTTATTATCTCGGCTGGTGGGAAAGAATTTAACCGTCAACACCCAGGCATATGGATGTTGTTGATTACACTTTCCAACTGATAGGTGTGTCATGTTTAGTTTCCACACATAAATATTAAAGTAAGTCTTCCTCTAGTGTTAACGTCTGTGCCATCTTTGCTGATTTGTTATGATTCCCTCTGATGAAGACAAAAGAAGACAATAGTTTCTCTATGGGTTATGGACTATGAGGCACCTTGTACAGTTCATCTATGTGTTCCTCAGTCTTCATTACCTTTACTCATATTTAATAATTTGCTCCATATGTTTCATAGATTTACATCAGGATTCGGCATGATGTAAAACAGAATTTTGACACGTTAAGTCATAAATGTTATAATTGATTACAGTATTTGTATATTACTACATACCTTTTTAACTTCTCTTCAGCCTTCATAATAAGAAATCAATGACTAGAAATAGCAGCTACCAAAATTATTACGAAATTTATTTTTAATTCAGGCAAATTTGGCAGTGAAGTGAAGTGATATGATGCTTTCCTGTTTTATCAAATTATCTGAATTATAGCTGTATTTGCTATTAATTTCATCTATCTCTGTAGAATATGCTTCAATCTACGAACAGAGGAAAGCCTGCCACCCGCGTAAATTTTAGTTTTATTAAAGCAAATTCAGGTCTTGGTACTGTAGCTTATTTTAGGTGTTTTCTCCTGTCTGACCTAATAAAAATATAAATACAATGTTGCATATTTTTTATGGTTTTTCACATGTGTGTATTTAATTTCTATATATACATACACTTGGGTTTGTTATGGCAAATATGATATGATTTAAATCAGAGTCTTGTCGTGAATCAGTTATGACATGCTTTTACCAACCCTGATTTACATAAGATAACCTTCATTGTGTCTGTTTTCCATTTCTAAACTCAGTATTTTTGGTTCTTGCATTATTGACAGTGGCATGACAATCAACCAGGACTTTCTTTGGAGGCGGAGAAATCACCAAATACCTTTTGATTAGAGAATCTTAGTAACATGGACACTAGTCAAGATTGGGCTCTGCCCAATGAAGCTTTGAGCCACGCCATGACATCTTGCAAGATCGGCCATTCCACCTCAGGAATTCTCCTCAAAATGTTACGTAGAGATTCAGGAAGCTGGTATGTATATTACACAGTACAGTACAGTATGTATGGACTTGCCTTTATTCATTGTAATCCTGTTTAAGTAACAAGTTTTTTGTGTGAGAGCATATTGCAGTTGTGTTATTGTATGGCCAAGTTTCCATTACCTGTTGCTGCTATTCAGTAACTTAAATTTTATTTGTTAAATGTAGTGGTAAAGATTAGAATTCATCTCATTTTGTAAAGTCTAAAAGTCAAAATTCAGAATTATTTAGGAAAATGTTTAAAGTATAAATACAGCCTCTTACAATACAGTACTACTAGAATTAGGGATTACTTGTGGATGAACAGATTGGTAATGGGCTATAGACCTACTTATACTCTCTTCAAGACCTTTCCTAATTCCATGTGGGTGGCATTAATCAACAGCATCACATTCTCTCTCATGCTTTGTCTTCATTCCTGCAGCTGTAACAGATGTTTATTCATCATTTTATCTCTCAGTTCACACATATATGTTTCTTAGGTGTTGCTTCAGGATATGTGGTAGAGACTCCCTCCTCCTTAGTGAGATCACGAGGACGGGGCTCCAGCCTGGGTGTTCGACCTGGTAGTGGAAATGCTCTATTATTATGCAACTCACGGTGGCGTCCAGATGTCAGTCACCTGTTTCATTGTTCTCCGTGATAGACTGAAGGTTAGTTAAATGTTATGTCTATCATTTAGACAAAGTATACATCTGTAACTACAGTAATACTTTCTTAACTGAACATGGATTTTTCCATTTATGAAAGGTTCCATTCCTGAAAAACCTTTTGGAAATCAGATCACATTATCTCTAGACTTCCATTATAAAAGCTGAGATATGTTTGTTTGAAAAATGTACTTCCCCAAGATGTCTAAAATGCCACAAAACATGGGACTGTCACAAAGTAATTTCAGGGGCCATACATAATTTTCTTCGTTTTTTAAACTTGTTACAGAAACAATCTTGCATACGCAATATGAAAAAACAAATAATAATAATATAATATATATATATATATATATATATATATATATATATATATATATATATATATATATATATATATATATAATATATATATATATATATATATATATATATATATATATATATATATATATATATATATATATATATATATATATATATATATATATATATATATATATATATATATATATATATATATATATATATATATATATATATATATATATATACAACACACACACACACAACACTATTTTTATTATAATAATACATACCGCTCGTTTCCATACTCTGCCCTGCCAGAACCGAATTCTACCACTGCATCTACCATATCTGGGTGAAGTATAATTTTTATTTAGCTCATAAAATTCATACAAATTATTCACAGAATATAATTTACATTGCTGGAATTCTTACAATTTGATGATCATTGAATATACATCATAGATTTTGCATTAGACATACAAATTTTAGATCTAATGCAAGTATTTTGTTTACTCAGAGCAAATATATCTTTGTGCAAAAATATATGAAGTGTATATTCAAAATATTCCTGGTCTTGCAAGGAATCCAGCAATGTCAATTATATTATCCTAACTTTAGTCTGAGGTATTATTTATTACTAAAAGGTAAATATTCTGGTTTCTCCCTCACATTTCTGGTAGGAGGGTTGGTGGGGGTGGGGGCAGGAGGGACGACCACCATCTGGCGCGGTTGGAAGAGTGGGGAGGCAAGGTGGGGTACTTTGATTGAAAGATAGTGTCGCGAAGAATATATTTTTTTTATTAACTGAAGATATTTGTTTTAGCTCATAAAATCTATACAAATTACGCCAGAATATAATTTACATTGCTGGAATTTTACAATTTGATGATCATTTTGAATATAAACATCATAGATTTTGCATTAGACATACAAATTTTAGATCTACTCTAAGTATTTTGTTACTCTGAGTAAATATGTTATCTTTTTGTGCAAAATATATGACATTTATATTCAAAATATTCCTGGTCTTGGAGAATCCAGCAATGTCAATTAAATTATCCTAATTTAGTTTGAGGTATTATTTATTACTATACCTTAAAATCAGTGGTTTTCCCCAAACATTTCTCAGAGGGAAGAGCCAGGAGTGGGAGAAGAGGGGAGGGAGTTGAGTCCATTATTTGAATGGACATTAACTTGTGACTATTTCTATTTCTCTAAGTATTAATTGTGTGATGTACCATCATAAAATTAAGATGTTATTTTACTAGAACATAGGTATTGTGTCGAAAAAGTGAGTTTGGGTCAAAGGTCTCTATTTCATTTAATCCCATATGTTATGTTGTTCACTTTACTCGTTTCGTTTTACTTATATGACTACATATATATATATATATATATATATATATATATATATATATATATATATATATATATATATATATATATATATATATATATATATATATATATATATATATATATATATATATATATATATATATATATATAGGTGGAGGTAGGAGGAGAGAGGCCGAGACTGGGATGGATGAATGAAATTAAAAACTGGGTCCCCAGAGAGATACAAAATTTTGGGGGATTGGTAAAAACAGCTCGAAAGGGTTTAATTTATTGTAAATGTCACTGTCGTAATTACCACCATACTTTACTTTGGTCTAATAAAGGTGATTTATATACTTTACAGGAGCTCCTGGATGCAGACCAGGTTGAACATTGGTTTATATCATATATTGACATCTTGCAGCACTTGCAGTTATGGAATGTTGCTAATCAAGTCATACAGCTTGCAGGTAAATAATTTATTAATTCTTTAACGGGGAATGAAATTAATGAAAGAAAAAGTTATACACATGAACTAACACACACGCACGCACGCACACACACACACACACACACACACACACACACACACACACACACACACACACACACACACACATTCACATTAAATTTAAATGTTTTTGATGCTCTTTCAGAAGGCCTTCCTTCTGTGCGACAACAAAACCAGCAATCTACATCAGTGACATTGCACTGTGGTCGTTGCAACTTTCCTTTGGGCTGGAACAGTCTTCTCTGTAGAAAGGTATGTCATTGGAGGAAGTACACTGTACAAGTGGAAATAGGGGAATACATTCCTGGATCTCAATAACTCCCTCCAAAAACTTACTTGTCACCAAGAAATAAACACTGCATTCCACTCCATGCACTAATGTACTTTACATACTAAACACAGCCTCAGTACTTGGGTCCCAAACACGCTTGGTTACTCACCTCAAGAAAACTCATTGATCCCAAGTTTACACACACACACACCCTGGTTTCACTGGCTTTCACCATTGACTTGTCTAGAATTTGCAAATACAGGGCATTTAAGTGGTGTTAGATCACTACTCTTGACCCAGATGTAAACGTAGGAGGCTTGGAACGGTTTCTTACTTATGACCCCAAATGGAGTCACAAGTTTCATCATAAACGGTTGCACAGACCTCATTGATATTGAAACAGTTTATTTAGCCAGAAAAATACGGATACAGGGTCAATAATAATAACAATATTAACATGGCTGAGCCAGTTAAGAACCTGAGCTCTCTTGAAGGCACCTGGTGTCTGTCACATGGTAAAAAGGCTGCCTATATTTACACTATTTACAATACAATAAACCCCTGATATAACAGACTAATTGAGTGTTAAAGCCAAAAATCCGTTTTATCCACATCCGGAATAATAACAGACTCGGTCCATTATATATCAACATAGTCTGAAGTGATCATATGGGTCACTTTTCACCACCAACACTCACCATCACCACCAACACCCACCATCACCACTCCTCACCATCATCACCAACACTCGCCATCACAAGGGCTTGATCCAGGCCAATACAACCGATGCATTTGCATCGCTCAAAAAATTCTGATCGATGCAAAGGTATCATATGCATCAGTCAGTGTTGACCTGCATGGCTCACCAGCTTCTGACTGTAGCTGTCACTTTTTGTACCTGATTGGCAAGTTTGACAACCCGTCCCCAGGGATGAGATAGTCAGAGCAGGGCCTGGGGGTGAGGTAAGGTTACAGGTAAGATTACACTCACATCACCTTTAGGTACCTGAAGTAAAGCCACTGTGACCCTAGGCCTGACCTGATGATGACATGTTTGACAACTTAAGTCTCACACTCATCCCCCTTAATACAGCTCAAGGTGCAGCTCTTTTGTTCTCAACATGACAGAATTTCATGCTGACAACAAGACAAGGATGAATTTTGATGTTTATGAATAAACGAAGGTTTGGATTAGTTTATCTAAGAGACAAACAGCAGTTAAAAATTAAGCCATCAAGGTGTTTGTACAGTATGGAACCATCTATGACTGTGAGGCAGCTGTCTCTTTAATTACCATAACCATATTTCTAACATCAACTAGTAAAACTGTATAGATCTGTTTCTTGACCACATACACCCCAGGTAGAGAAAATTAGTCAAATGACCATATACTGGATGGTTTTGTAACAACTACTTGCAATAATATTAGCTATTACAGACTTACAACTTGATTTTACACAGTTCAATTAATACAGTACATACAAAAAACAAGCTACAGCTCCTCCCTGACTTACGACGGGGTTAGGGACCCAAATCCAGGTCATAAGTCAAGATGGTCATAAGTCGAAAATGCTTAAATAATACATAGAAAATCTAAAATGGGTGTCTCTTTTTCTTCTCAGCACCACAAAACTCTCACTTTTAAGCTTGCCAGCTATTTTAAAGTGAATTACAAACGAAAATTCTCTTTGTGTACTGATGATAGGACTCGAAAATACGTAATTTGACAAAATTTTGGTATGACTGAGGCAAGTCGTAGGTGCGGGTGGTCGTAAGTTGAGTAGGTCGTAAGTCGGGGAGGAGCTGTAGTATTTATTTTTAGACTGCTCATTGATATGACCAGATTTTCTATAATAAAAATTACTCAGTTTTTATTGTTAATTGTATCAAGAGTTATAGATCTTGTTTTAAATCATTGAGAGTGAATCAACATGCGAGTAACTCAACATATGCCGAGTGTCATGCAGTTGTAAGAATGTCTTATAATACTGTATATTTCAGTAATGTTTGCTTACTGTATACCACAGGCTCGTGAGAATGTGTTTTATTATTACCAGTGTGGATGTGCGTCGGCAACATGTGCTCTGTGTCACGGGATGGTACGCGGTCTGTACGTATGGTGTCAAGGCTGCTCCCATGGTGGCCATCTCCACCACATCATGCAGTGGATGGCCAACAACAAGGCGTGTCCAGCTGGGTGTGGTCATTTATGTGAATATACCTAATATTTGTATTAATTCATTCTGTTAATGTGTATGTAGTCTTATTTTCATCTTATAGCCTTTGACAGTTTACTTACACTGTACAGTACTGTAACATTATCTTGAGTTTGCATCTGAGTTTAAGTATTTTGAGTAAGGATGCAATATAATGGTGTTACTTTTAAACACAAATATGTTTAGATATTTTCAACATATTGAAAGAAAACTGTGATATGCCTCTCATAGATGTGAGATATAGTTGTTAGATAGAACACAGATTATAAAACAATATCTTAGCAACAATTTGTATTGATAATTGTTGTTACTGTATATAGTTATTAATGTACTTACAAATTATGAGAAAATCCATGTGACCTTTTTATATTAAAATATTTTGAAGAGTATCTTTTAATAAATTGTATATACTGATTATTTTCACCTATAGTAATGAACATGTCTTCCATCATAACTGAGAGGCAACTTATAGCCCTGCTGAGGCGTGGGTAGTGTGAGGAGATCTACTGAGACGTGACATGTTTTGTGAGTGCTAATGTTAGTCTGCAATTTTAAAACAGTGAGGAGAAATCTTGGCCTAATATGATGCTTATTGCAGTCAAACATGTACATATCATATTGTGGAGTCGTATGTCATAGTAAGGGTTAATCATAATGCCAAAAAAGTTAAAAGAGAAAGTAAGGTACACTGTAGTAGCCTTGGGTTATTTTACGAGATAGAGACCGAGAATGTTGCAGATATATCATTCAATACTGTAAGGGTTAAGGACCTGAGGCCCCAAATATCACCAAACAAAACTTAAAAGGTTTATTTACTTACAAATCACAAAAAAGAAATTTACACTTCTGGTACACATTGGAAAAATAATGACAATTGTACAAAAACAAAGAAAATTGCAAAAAAATTAAAAAATTACCCAATATATCACAGCCTTGTTGCCTCTGACCAAACCAACAACCCACAGTTGTTGGTAACACTGGATGACAGTTTTGTACATTAACCAGCAACTTTAGGAAATATTTTATAGAAGATAAATACCTTCTTTTGAACCTTTCTCAGCTGCCAGGCTGGTGACGTCACTAACATAAACAGTCTCTGCTTGGCAGTCTTTTCATTACCACGTTTCTGAATTGGATCGAGATAAAAATCTCTTCAGGTATTTTAAAGCATTTTTGTGCCCCTATTAAACATGAGCAAGAAAGCAGGTGATGGTAGTGTTGGCTCAAAAGCTAAGAGAGAGGACCTGATGATTTAGGCACTTTGTCGACATCTGAGTAAAAACTCAGACAACAACATTGGCTGTGTCCTAATTGGTGAGTAGAACTTTTGTTTTACATTCACAAACATTAATTGAAACATATATTTACGGTAATAAATAGTAATAAGTGTTGCTTTCATATTTTTATGTAGAGAAATAACACAATGTTTGCATGTGTGCGTACGTACACTTCTTTCTTTACCATAAGTGTTTACTTCTATTGTTCCAGTTACACTAAATAACATAAATTAAAACATACATATTCTTTTTTTTTATTAATTTTACTACAGTTAGAGCTTCATATATTATCATACTTGTACAAGTAATTCATCATGGTAAGCAAGTTACTCAAATATTGGTGTAAAACTATTTGTCATGGGCAAGATATTCTCAACATCTCTTGCAAAGTGTTCATCACAATGTCACTGAACACTTGGTTTGAGGTAGACACCAGATCATAAGCAAGACCTGGCAACATCTCATGCCAAGTCCTCATCATTCCTGTGAAGATATTGCATTACATACAGCTGATTGACAAGTACCGTACTGTAGTAAAGTGTACCTGCATTTATTGGTGGGCATAGGGGTTTATAATCCCCTGTTTAATTTCTTCTAATCAACTGTAATGCAATATCTATGTACAGTATAGTCTGCATTTACGCGGTCAATTGAACCCATGGAGGTCCGCGTAAAACGAGAAACGCGTAAACAAAATAACAGAGCATATGGGATTAATTGAAATAGAGACTGGGCCGACCCCTAAACTCCAGTTTTTCCGACACAATACGTACGTTGTAGTAAAAAATAGTATCTTAATTTTATGATGGTATGCACACACAATTAATATTTAAGAGAAATATCAATAATATTAGGTTTTTTAACACTTACGTTAGTAGAAAAGATGGCTGGGCAATTAAGGGGATGGGGGGGGGTAGGTTCCGAGGCAGAGGGCAGATTATTGGCTCTCACCTGTATCACTTGTATCAATTGTATCACTATCCACCACAGAGGCTTGCAGGGCCTCTTTGTCAAACCCCTCAAAGTCCATATAAGTCCATATCCTCACTATCACTGACTTGGGCCGGCTGTGGTGGGTGGCGGGTGAAGAACTCGGTAATGTTTTGATGACTGGGCGACCTTGTGCGCACCCTGCCCGTGCCGCTTCCCGCGTAAATGATGAAATTTACCACATAATTAAAACATTTCATTCTGGCAAGGCACCGCGTAAATGACCAAACGCGTAAACAAAATCCGCGTAAATCCAGACTATACTGTACATGTATTGGATTTCTTCTGATCATCTGTTATCAACTTCTTCAATATTTTCTATGTATGTTTCTAAAGAAAGGGGAAGGGTTCTCTTGGACGGTCATTTTATTATCCATTAACTACCAAAACTTCATACACAGGAAAGTTGGACTTGTATTTTTTTTATTATAAACTTATTTTTCTTAAAATCGGAGGATGGGGAGATTCTCTTAAAATCTCCCCATCCTCCGATTTTAAGAGAATCTGAAGAATTTTTGATTCTTCAGTGGGAAGGACTTGTGAAAAGATGAGGAACATGTACATAAGCAGTGAAAACCTTAGTTTTCACCAAAATAACATACTGTGAACACTTTGCATTTTATGTCATTTGACGGAAAGAAATTTAAAATGATCTTACTGAGGACTTAACAGTAACACTTTCATATTGAGTTTGCCATAATAAACTTATTACTTTCAACTTCTTAGTTGCATCAAAACTTTCCATTTAAATGTAAATTTTTCACACTACTGTTTCTTATATTGGTTATAACAAATTTCTTTACTGTTTATTTACAGTGAGATTTACGTATCCCTGGAGGAGGTAACTGACCCTAGGAGCACCATTTGCTGTGTCTCGGAAGTCAGCGTTAGCCTGCTTAGGTTCCCTTTTTTTTAAGGGTTTGGAATTCCTCATGCAGGAAGTGCCAAACCTAGGACAAGGAGAGCCGGTCCTGAACTTGGTTAGCCTTTTTTTTTATCCTTTTTAGCTGGGGTCAGGAGGCTTCTTCCAAGAGGTAAATGGCTTTTGGACCAGCATGCTTGTTTGTCCAGTGGTTCCAGGAGTCAGAATCCTCTTGGGAGAGAATCCTGGCCCTTGGACCTGGCATCAGCCAGGTTCAGGGACTCCCCATTGTTTTTTTCTTATCATTGCCCTCCTCCTTTATCAACTGGAATGGACATTGTGAAGTCCAGGATAAACAATGGATGAAATAGATCAAAGATTTGTATGTACTTGTATTTTAATGATTTATTATGAACATAATGATATTGTATTATTTTTCTTCAGTCATCTATAGTCACTTACGAATGTAAATTGATTAGATGCTTTCAGCAAAGAAAACTCTTTAAACATTAAACATGTGTAACCATAGTATGAACAATGGTAAATAAACATGTGTAACCATAGTCTGAACAATGGTAAATAATCTTAAATTGTTGAGACCCAAGTTAATGTGATAACTTACTTAACAGTACATCAGGGATTTACGAACGCCATAGTTGATCTTACTTGTGTTCATTATAGTAGAAAAAAACTTTCTACTTTTCAGAAAAGTAGAAAACTTTTTCTGCCTTTACAAGAAGTACATAATTTACTTTTTGGGAGCGTTGTTAACATTTCCAAATACAGTATGTATGATTAAAATTTCCAAAAAATTCCATTTTGGTTGTATTACCCTGTAGTGGAATTCTCCCCTACAAATGCTGTTTGTCGCTGCCTAGCCGACCCCACCAATTCCCCAGTGTATGCCTCGTGGTCGAGGTCAACCAGCGCCGCCATACACCACGGAGCGGGGGTCAACTGCTAAGCCACGCCTACCCCCGCTATTTAAGACCTGACCTCGTGGTGATCTCTCTCTTTCTACCTACAGCCGCAGCCAGCAACACCTCCTCCTCCGCCGCTGCCTGGCGGCCCTCGTTCCTCCTCCGCCTGCTTGGCGGTCCTCTCTCCCGCTGGTGAGCATGGCGACCCACGAGCTGTCCTTCTCTGAGCGTCCTCACCAACCAGCTCTCTCTACATCACGCTTGTAACCATGCTGCCTTCCCAGCACCAAGCTGCATTGTACATCCAATACAACATGTATATAGAGAGCACATTGTGAGTTTCCTTTCTCCATTCCATCCTGAGTGTGAACCAAACATCTCAAACCCCACAACCCTTTTTGATTAATTGACCATATTCTATGAAAAATTTCCCATTTTCTATGACGGATGCACAGAAGAAAATGGAAATTTTTTCCATTTTCTATGATGCATCAAAGAAAGTAGATTATCGACATTTCTGGGAAGTAGATTGTAGTGGATTTCTCCCCTACAAACGCTCTTTGTCGCTGAGTAGTCGACCCCACCAATTCCCCAGTGTATGCCTCGTGGTCAAGGTCAACCAGCGCCGCCATACATCACGGAGCGGGGGTCAACTACTAAGCCACGCCTAACCCCCGGCTATTTAAGACCTGACCTCGTGGTGACCTGTCTTTTCTACCTTCACCAACCAGCCAGCAACACCTCCTCTGCCTGCCTGGTGGTCCTCCGCCCCGCCGAGCCAGCATGCACCTACTGCTGGTCCTCCTCTGAGCATCCTCACCAACCAGCTCTCTTACATCACGCTTGTAACCATGCTGCCTTCCCACACCAAGCTGCATTGTACATCAATACAACATATATATAGAGAGCACATTGTGAGTTTCTTCTCAACCCATCCTGAGTGTGAACCAAATATCCTGAACCCCACAAATGGTGACTCCCGGAGTTCGCACTCACAGGATGGAGGAGAACCGATTCGTTCCCAGTCTTCAAGCAACATGGAAGACTGGCTAATCCACGAAACGCACTCATCGCTCTACAGCTACTGTCTCTACACGCAGGTTAGACACCCTAGACAGCTCTGCTACTCTAAGCAGACAGTCGCTCCTTCCGACCCCAGCACACCCGTCCCTGCCTCAGAGGCTCTCCCGGCCCAGCAGTAACCCCTGCCGCCCCTGATGCGGCTCTGTTCCTGAGTGGCGGACCCACACACCCCTTTTCTCTCAGGTACTCCCTGCTACTGTCCTGCTCCCTGCTGCTGTCAGGACCCAGCTGCTGTCATGAGCTCATCCGCTTCTGCTGGCGCAGCCCTGCTCCTGACCCAGGCCC